TAATATTCATGGCCTATGGAATTTGTTCTCTTGGCCTTGGTTAAGCAATTTGTGTTCCTGGTTTGTTCAGGATTGTTTGTTTGCTTGTTTGTTTATTTTGTTTTGTTTTGCTTTGAGACCGAGTCTTGCTCTGTCACCCAAGCTGGAGTGCCATGGTGCAAACTCGGCTCACTGCAACCTCCACATTCTCCTGCCTCAGCCTCCTGAGCAGTTGAAATTACAGGCATGTGTTACCATATCCAGCTAGTTTTCATGTTTTTAGTAGAGAAGGGGTTTCACCATTTTGGTCGGGCTGATCTCAAACTCCTGACCTCAAGTGATCCGCCTGCCTTGGCCTCCCAAAGTGCTGGGATTATAGACGTGAGGCACCATGCCCAGCCTTACATCCCTGGTTCTAAAGCAGCTTACAGAGACTATTAACTGTTCTCATTTTTGCCATAGTGGTCATGATGTTAGTTATTATGTTCTATGTGGAAACTTAAATGCTCTGCACAACCAGTCTCTTATCAAATGACTGCCCTGATTGGAATACAGTTGACTATGGTGACATCTGAATGATTTCTGAGAAGTGAATATCCAGATTCTGGCTTTTCCAGAATTGGTCAACCACTCACAAGCCAGAGAATGAAAAAAAGAGAGGGTTGAAAGACTAAGCAGACAAAAGAATATAGCCAGACTATATAAGACAAAAGAACACTGACTGAAAACCTCTGCAGCAACCAGCAGCAATAGCCAGGATTTAGTCAATGACTGCCAGCTTCTCTATTCTGTGCCCCTACTTCCAACTCAGGGCCTAGCAGAGGAAGCCAAATACTTCACTTTTAGTTAGCCCATCTGCAGCTTCTCCAAGCCAGCAACCTCCAATCAAAAGGCTATATACCCTAAGGCTCCCCTTTTTTTATTGTAAAGCTTTCTCACTCTACCACCTGCCTGTGTCAAACACAACAAGTAATGTTAGTTTCCTCTCTTGTTATGGCAAGCTCTGAATCAATAACCTCTGTTCTCATTTGGGTAATCTTCATGTATTTCCACACTATACATAACCACATGCACACCCACACAGGTAAAAATAGCAGGGCCTTATGCAAGACACTAGAAATTCCAACAGCCATATAAAAAGAGCCACTTTTCAGGGAAGCAGTACATTCTCACCTCTCTACCCCACCTCCCAAGGGCTCAGGTTCAGCTGCTACCACCTACTAATATCCTGCTCCCTTGACTAGCCAGTCATCCCACCTCCTCACCCAGGCTTTGCTCAGACCTTTGTCAGGGCATAGCCACAAATGGGTTACCAGTGTGACGCTCATCACCCTCAGTAAGCATCTCTAGCCAAGCTCTTTCTCATCTGTTCACCCCAGACTAACATACAAATATTACCATTTTCTGTGTATGCCATGGTTTGAGAAGCCTAGAAAGGCACTAAGGAGCCTCTGTGCCACCCAGCCCTTGGATCTCTCGTGCTGTGTTTTAGCCTCTGCCTGGGAAGGAATTTGTACAAGTCTGTAAGGCTTAAACAAAATGCCCAAATGAGAGGCATATGATGCTTTTGATGGGTAAGAGAGTTGTTCCACAAGGAACTGAGCTAAAGAGCCTGTGGTTAGATGGTGTTTCATGCTTTCAAATTCTGAGAACTATACACGCTACAACATGGCTCCAAATAGGTTGGGCCCTCATATTCTCACATTCCCACTGATGGTGAATTATATTGATTAACATTAGCAATATTAAATCATATTTCTAAGACTAATTATTATAACAATATATCATCTAACATTCAATGAGCTCTCACTATATTCCAGGCACAATTTCTAAATACTTCACTTAATCCTCACAACAGCCTGAGTATGCAGATACTATTAATGAACCCTTTGTAAAGATTAGGAAACTGAAACTAAGAAAATTAGAGCAAAGTGGCCAGGCATGGTGGCTCACGCCTATAATCCCAGCACTTTGAGAGGCCGAGACAGGCAGATTGCTTGAGCAGGAGTTCAAGACCAGCCTGGGCAACACAGCAAAACCCTATCTCTACAAAATATACAAAATAAGCTAGGTATGGTGTCACGCACCTGTTGTCCCCAGCTACTCAAGAGGCTGAGATGGGAGGATCACTTGAGTCCAGGACATGGAGGTTGCAGTGAGCTGAGATTGCACCACTGCACACCAGCCTGGGTGACAGAGATAGACCCTATCTCAGAAAAAGAAAAGAAAATTAAGCAAGGTCGTACAGCAGAACAAGAGCTAGAACTAAGCTCTAATGTGTTAGACTTCATACTCTGAGCTATAACCACTAACTCACATGCTACAAAAAACCCATATTTGACTGACCACCTAAATAAGCAGCTCAGGCAGGATGGTGTAATATGAAGAATAACAAATATACACAAGAAATAGAAAACATAACATTATTCATCAACTAAAAACTAAATTCTAATTTATATCAAGTCAACTGTTAATACTGTATCAATTCTAATTAGATGCTTGTACTTTGACAAATACAGAATATAAATTCTTTTAGTGCTTTAATTGCCTGTGGCTTTTGAATTAACTTTGCATCAGCAGTTGTCTCCCTAATTATTTGAGATAACCACTAAAGTAATTTCATACATTATAGTAATCTATTTTACACACTAAGACAGCATTTTATCAGCATTTTTCAGCCTAATATTAATGAGAATTTAACTAATATATTTAAATCACAATGATCCCATAGAATCACTTGAAAGCCAGGCTGATACTCAAAAAAAATAGCTAGAAATCACATGAACATTTGTGTGTTATTTCAGAAGTAGGTTTGGTAACTTGCTACTTTTATACATAGTCAATTTTCTATAAGCTAAAAAGAAGGAGGAATTTGAAAGTCAGTTAGTCTAGTCAATCTTAGGATGTGTTACTTCCTAAATTTGAATACAGGAGATGAACAATCTGGGACATCACCATATCACAAAAGCATACTTAAGGCTCAACAGGGGATTAGCCGGAGAACTTCTAGGCTTTCCCATCTCACCATCCTCACCCCTCCCAATTTCATGCTGGAAACAGACAGCAGTATATCAGTGTAAAGCAAGAGTCAGAAAATTTTTCTGCAAAGGACCAAACAGCAAATATCTTAGTCTTTGCTAACCAAGACAGTCTCTGTCGCAACGACTCAACTCCGCCATCGTAGCACAAAAGCAGTCACGGACAATACAATGAATGAGTGTGACTACTGTATGAACTTTCTTTTTAATTATTTTTTATTTCTTAAATATTATTTATTCATGTGTTTGTTTTAGAAACTCTATTTACAAACATAGACATCTGTATTTCATGCAATTTTCATGTGCTCTGAAATAAATTTTTTTTTTTAACCATTTAAAAATGTCAAATTCATTCTTGCTCATAGGCTATACAAAAACAAAAAAAAAGGACTAATTTGGCCCTTTGGTGCTCACTGACTGACCCCTGGTCTAAAGAGAAGATGCCCCAGTTCTCCTGTATAATATTATCCTCAATCAAGTTCACACCTTGCATGCCCAGCCCCATGCACAGAGGCCATTCAGTGTTTGTTTTTAAACAACAAACATAGCCAACACTTTCACATACATATTACTTGTTACACTTAGTACTTATAATATACTTACTCTATGTCAGCCTATGTGTGAAATGCCTTGAGTATATCATTTAATTTATTCCTCACTTAGATCTTAAATATGGGTTTCATCATTATCTCTATTTTACAGATGGGAAAACTGAGGCTAAGAGAGGTTAAGTAACTTGCTGAAGCTCATGAAACCAGTAAGTGGTAGAGCTAAGCAGTTTGACTCCACAGCCCCTGTTTTCAGTACCCACTATTATGTCATCCTCAAAGGGCTTCTGTGGGACAGAAAGCAGGAAAGAAGAGTAAATATCAACCAGGATGCTTGTTATTTGAAGAACAGCCAGTAGGAGACATCAACAGAGCAAAGGCCACAACACCAACAATACAGAAAGCTCATATTTTTACATTTCTTTTGAAAAATGACTAATCCTGATTATCTCAGTCTTTTACTTAATGGTGAATGCTGCTGGTTTAAATGCAACAATATTTACCACTAAGCACGAGGGACTAACGTCTCCCAAAATCTAACTAAACATGTATTCAGTGCCTTCATAGTTTACACTTCTTTGGAATGAATGAGAGTAGCCATCCTGTATTCTTCCTCAGTACTTTCATCAAGGGAGGGGATCTGGGATGCTCCCAAGATTACCAGGTTGCATTTGTCCATGAAAAGGCAGATTTACATAGTAATCTCTCCCCAAAATCCTTTCCTCTAGGAAAGAGACTCCAAACTTCTCTTCCTGGAATGAGGAGGCCAGGATCCTGGAGCCAGAGTTAGGTGTGGGAACGGTCAGGAAAGGAAGAAGCCAAGGGAAATTAGATACCGTGAACTCTAGGGCCAAAGGTGCTCCCAAAACATCAGTTCTGAAGAGGTGGGAAGAGAGTCAACAATGAGGTCTAACATCAAGGGTCCCCAGTTAGAGTCAGGCAAACAGGGTAGGTCTAGGAGACCCAGCAGGAAGAAGGCACTGGTGGGCAGAGAAGAGAGAATGTTTGTTAAGCCTATTACCTCATTCACTCCTTCAACAAATTTGTACTGAATATCAGTTTGTGCCACAAATCTATGCCAGTAAACAAGACAGGCATGGTTCCTGCCTTCATTGGGTTTATAGGCTGTTGATGGAAAGCAATCCAATAGTGATAATAAAGGTAGAGGAACTCACAATGATGGAACACTAAATCTTACAAAAATACGTGGAGGGAAAGAATCATTTAGGATGCTGTGTTAGGTAGCTTCATAAATTGTTCCTAATGATCTCCACCTCCTGGTATGCATGCCCTTGTGTAACTCCCTCTACTTGAGTGTGGCCTGGATCTAGCAACTCGAGTTTACTGAACAGAAGGTAGGAAGTTATCTAAAAACATTATTTCTGCCTGCTTATACCCTCTCTCTGTTGCTCTCTCTTAATCACTCTGACGGAAGTCAGCTGCCACGACTTAAACTGCCCTATGGAGAGGCCCAACTGGCAAGGAACTGAGGAAGACCTCCAGGTAACAGCCCATGAGAAACTGATGCCCTCAGTTCAACAGCCCACAAGGAACTGAAATCTGCTGACAACTGCATAGATGAGCTTAGAAGCAGATCCTTCTCCAGCCAAGCTTTCAAATGAGACTGCAGCCCCAACTGGCACATTGATTGCAACTTGTGTGAAACCCTGAGCCAGATGATACAGTTAAGCTGACCTCAGATTGCTGGCTCACAGAAACTGTGAGATAATAAATACTGTTGTTTAAAGCCAGTAAGTTTTGAGGGGATTTGTTATAAAGCAATAAACTAATACAGATACCAATCCAGGTTGCCCAGAAAATATCTACCAAACTCTTTCAGACTTATCCTGTTTCTCACAAGAGAAACAGATTACAGAGCATTTACCAGTCAGAATCTCTGATAACATTAGTAACACTGAGATTGATGTTAAAAATGGAAACCATCCCTCCCAATGGGTGAGGCTGAGCTGGTTCCAACTATGAGACAGAGAATCTTATGTGCTTCCAGAAAAAAAAAATGAGGTGAAAGAAGAAAATCCTTCTTTTGGCAATGGGCTGAGAGTAGGGCAGACTAGGAGGCATCCAGTAGAACCCGAACAAAGAAAAGTGCAGTAATTAAAGAAGTCACAATACATAGGAGGCTAATTCTAAAATATCACTTGGGAGGCAACAGATCAACTGTCTTAGCCAGATTTAGTTTTTCAAGGGTAAGAAGCACATGTACATCAATGGTACATCAGTGCTTCCACAGTATCCTGTATGCACCCTACCCCATCATGATCCCTTAACGTGCTGAACTAAATGAACAGTTTACTGCCCATTTCTCCAATTAGAGCAGAGAAACAATGTTAATTTTAGTTACCACTGTATCCTAGTGTCTAGTACAGTGCCTGCCACACAGTAAGAATTCAGTATATACTTGACAAGTAAGTAAAATATACCAATTTTGTGACAAAAAATATGCATAGGAAAAAGACCAGAAAGGAATGCATAAAAACATAAACAATCTCCTACTGGATGGAAGAGTATGATTATTTTCCTTGATATACTTGTCTCCACTTAGTCTGCACATAGACTTCTGTGTGCAATGCCTATAATGTAGAAAAAGAAATGCCTGAGAATGTTGTAAGACAGATTTCTGGGCCCTACACAGTTTACTTTCATAATTTTATAATATTAAGATTGTTGCCATAAATTTCCATACTCAAAGACATTTATAATAGATTATCACCTCACTTGTCAATTTGCCAACCTGACAACTGAATTCTTAAGCACTATGTAGAAACTTTCAAATATAAATTAAGATATCAACACTTGCAGAGCAATATGATGCATAAATATGTAAAATTGATCATTTCACACAACAGGACCTCAAAAAGATAACAAATGGGAGAACATATTGTATTAAAAATAACCACGTGAGATTCTATGGATTGTGCAGTAGAATAACTCTCAACAACTTTAATATACTCTGAAATTTGGATGCAGTGATGCACACCTATACTCTCAGCCACTCAAGATGTGGCAGGAGGACCACTTGAGCCCAGTAGCTCCAATCCAGCCTGAGCAACATAGAGAAACCCTATCTCAAAAAAAAAAGAAAAAAGTATAAGCACATCCAACCTGGCAAGCAATATTGCCCCAAAATGCAATTAACTAAATGGAATATTTTGCATGTGTGTATGTGAATTTCACATCAGTTTATCCAGATCACAAAACCAGCAAGCTCAATCTTCTTGAAGGGAGAAGATTGCCCACCCAGAAGCTCAATACCTTCCATTTTGGAAACAAAAGCAGCCATCTAAAACTGGTTCTCAAGACTGTGCTCTAGACTTATACAGGTAGAAAATATTTTTTCCATCTAATTCCAAGTTCCCAAGAGAGCTCAAAGTCATCCATACATCCTCAGTTTAGAATATCACCAAATAAGTCGGATGAATTGAGCTCAAACACAGGCTCCCATTCCTGCCTTGTCATGACTATACCCTCAGTGTGTTAGAAACAGTTAAGGGACACCTCCACTGCAACAGAGACACTATGATTTGGCAGATGTACCTCCATTCGAGAAGCCTTGCCTCTCAAGTTAGCCCTGCGCAGTCCAATAGAAGTGTAATGCAAGTCACATGTGCAATTTTATATGTTCCAGTAGCCACATTTTAAAAATATAAAAACAAATAAATAAAATCAATTTCAATAATGTACTTTCTTTAACCCAATATACCAAATAAATAGTATCTTTGCAACATGTTATCAATATTAAAAATCACTGATACTTTACATTCTTTTTTGTTGTATTAAATCTTTTAAATTCCATGTGTATGTCATACTTAAAGCACTCAATTCAGATAGGCTACAGTTCAAATACTCAATAGCTACAGGTGGCCTGTGGATACTATATACTGGACAGTTCAGGGTAAATGTACTTCTCCTATCTGACTATCCAGGAGAGACCTTTTTGTGTTATTATTTATGAAGACAGTTCATCTCTCTTGAATTTACATCAAAGTCCAACCACATAGAGATGAAGAAAGCAAAATAACCTGGTGCAGCTTCTATTCACTGGTGAAATAATATATACTGAGCATCTTCTCTGTGCCAGGTGCTGAGCCAAGGGCTTTACATAGCTCACTCCATTTAATGCTCACAGAAACCCTAAGAGAAGGTACAACTGTAATCCCCATTTACACGTGAGAAGACTGAGGCACAGAAAGTTAATTTGCTTAAGGTCACACTTCAAGCAGGTGGTGATGCTTGCATTTCAACTTGAGCAGTCTGACTTTATACTGCACACTCTACTCAGTGCACATACTCAACAAGAGTAAAAGAAAGGATAAGAGATCCACAGTTAAGAAATCGTAGTCTGACATGTGTGTATATATCAGAAAAGAGACAAGGAAGTATTTGAAAGGGTGGGATAGAACTCTAGAATTAAGATACAGAGATAAATTCACCTGCAAGGTAAGGAAGGGAAGGGAATGAAATACGTTCCAGAGGAAAAACAGAATTGGGAACTATCTAAAATTTGGTGTCAACAATTGACAACGACGATGATAAAAACTAACATATTTGTAACCTTTGCTCTGGGTCACGTATTGCTCTAACATCAGTTTCTCAGCCTCAGCACTATGGACATTTGGGCTGAATCATGGTTATAGGAGCTGTCCTGTGCATTGTAGGATGTTGAGCCTGGTATCCTAAATACCAGGAACAGTGCTCTACCCTCAATTAGCAATCAATCAAAAATGTCTCTGGCCATTGCCAAATATTCCCCTGGGAAACAAAATTGCCCCCTCTTGAAAACCCTCATACTGAGTGTTACATATATATTAACTCACTTAATTCTTCACAGCAGCCCTCTGAGGAGACATAATTACTTTATAGACCAGAAAACTGAAGGTATGGTTGGGCAGATGACCTGCGGTCCTGCCGCTAAGTGAAAAAGCTAGACAAATCTGTGTTTGTCCGATTTTAAAATACATTTTTACTGCTAACCCTCAATACAAGTTCCCATCTTGTCTCTAATTCATACAGGGATTTATGTGCTTTCCCACTCCCAGGCTGATCCTAGAGAAGAACAGAAACAAAACACTGCTGGACACCCCTCACCAAGAAGTTCTCCTACCACAGTCACCTTTTGTGTCCCCTTTCCACCTTGTGTCTCTTCACTCTATTCGTACCCATATTTTCTTGGCTAATAGCCTTTCAGGAAATAGGCAGGGTATGAATGAACAGATGAATGTTTAAAGCCTGAATACATACTTAGGGAGAATGAGTCCTCAAACTCTATACAAACATCCATCCGACTGCAATTAAAAGCCACAAATATGTTTTTATAAGAAAATTAGGCCAGGTGTGGTGGCTCACGCCTGTAATCCCAGCACTTTGGGAGGCGGAGGAGGGTGGATCACGAGGTCAAGAGATCGAGACCAGCCTGGTCAACATGGTGAAACCCGTCTCTACTAAAATACAAAAAATTAGCTGGGCATGGTGGTGCATGCCTGTAATCCCAGCTACTCAGGAGGCTGAGGCAGGAGAATTGCCTGAACCCAGGAGGCAGAGGTAGTGGTGAGCCAAGATCGTGCCATTGCACTCTAGCCTGAGTAACAAGAGTGAAACTCCGTCTCAAAAAAAAAAGAAAAAAGAAAATTAAGCTATCACCATATCACCTTTGAAATAAAATGAGATATGACTAAAAATGTAAACTTCACAAATGGAAGTAAAGTTCAAATTGCTACAAGTTGTAAATTTGTTCTTGAAATATCAAACACATGGGAAACAGAAGCTAATTATTTTGTCCTATTTTTGTATGTGAAAATTACTTATAATCTGCCTGTTAAACAATTCAAAATTATTTTAAATGATAATTGACTATCAAACTAGGCCAATTTACACCTACAATCCCTCTGAAACTGCCTAGAAACTGGGACAACTGCAGAAAAAAAGAAAAACACTTCCATTTGCGTCAATTTCTTTGTTTCTCAACCATCAGTCTCCAAGTCTCCAAAATCAGAAAAGCTTAAGTACAACTGATTAATAAGGAAGCACTTCAGGGACTTTGTATTATTTGATTATGTCAAGAAAAACCTTATAGTTCTCATAAACTCATTATTCTAATATTGCTCATGAGAACTCTATTTTTTAAAGAAAAAAGGGGAGTTTCTTCTTATACCGTCACTGTCAATATTTTAAAAGTATTATATGATTTGTTTAATGCATTTAACCCCATCCCAATGAAGGAAAAGAACATTTGTTTTCATATTACAGTAGTTCCTTGGTACACTTAGGGGATTGGTTCCAAAACCCCCTATGCATAACAAAATTCATGCACACTCAAGTTCTGCAGTGGGCTGTATAGAATCTGCACATACCAAAAGTTAACCCTCCATATTGGCAGGTTTTACATTCTGTGAATACTGTATTCTCAATCTGCATTCAGCTGAAAAAAAAAATCCATGTAGAAGTGGATCCTCACAGCTCAAACCCCTGTAGTTCAACGGTCAGTTGTAATTTACTTTTTTAAAAAGTGAGTTGGCCAGTTGCAGAGAATAGGTTCAATAGCTGATTCTTCTTAGTGTCTCAAAGATCGATTTCTTAGGGAGAAAGAAAAAGGAGGGAAAGCAGGAAGGGAGGGAAACAGAAACAAAGAAGCAAAGGAAGGAAGGAAAGAGAGAAAGTAAAAGGAAAAAAAAGAAAAAAAGGTAGTTGGAAAAAGAAAAAAAAGTGGGGGGATGGTAGAAAAAAGCCAGGCAAAGTGATCTCTGATGGCTCATGTGAGACTCTGATCCCCCTACAGGTCTGTATATCCCAGAACCTGAAATTCTCGAAATCCCTTCCCTGTGTATTCTGGAACTCAGGGTCCTCAAGAACAAAGATCTCCTACACCCTCAGCCTCTTCAAGAATGACAGCTTCCCTCTCCTGACTTAATCCATTCATCTTTCTGCCCTTGTTGGCAAGTACTTCATAGCTTCTCCTTCAAAGCTTCAGCACCTCCTGCCCCAATACTCACTTTTAGCTATTGGCCTTCCTTCCCATTTCACCCAAAATGGAAACCACAGAAGAGAATTTCCTTTACCTGTAGCACCTCATCAACTGACAGACTTGCATCTCTGCCCAGATCTTCTGTCATCCCTCCT